TATATATTAGTTTGGGGAAAAAGAAATCCATTATTTTTATATGAACTTCAGGACTTTATTTAACATGCTTCGGATTGTCCGATTTGGGTCAAATATGCACCGTTTTGTTGTATGATTTGTTGCCATTTTAAAGGTAACTTCAAAATGCCTCTCTCATAGAAGTCCTGGTCTCTATTTGCAAAAAACTCTAGTAGTCGATTTTCACAATCCTCCCTAGATTCCAATTTTTTATCATTAAAGAAATTTTGCAATGCAAGAAAAAGATGATATTCGCTTGGTGCCAAGTCCGCACTGTATGGCGGATGCGTTAAAACTTCCCAACCAAGCTCCCGAAGTTTCTGGCGAGTCACTGTAGATGTGTGTGGCCTAGCGTTGTCCTGGTGGAACACGACACCTCTCCTGTTGGCCAATTCTGGCCGTTTCTGGTCAATCGCTATCTTCAAACGGTCCAGTTGTTGACAGTAGAGATCAGAATTTAGCGTTTGGCCATATGAAAGCAACTCTTAATAAATAATCCCCTTCCAGTCCCACCAAATGCGTAGCAAAACCTTCCTGGCCGTTAGTCCTGGTTTGACCACCGTTTGAGGTGCTTCACCGCTGTTTGACCACGATCGTTTTCGCACAGGGTTATCGTATGTGATCCAATTCTCATCTCCAGCCACCATCCGTTTAAGAAATGGGTCTATCTCATTCCGTTTGGCCAAGGCTTCGCAGATGGAAATTCGATCCATCATGTTTTTTTCTGTTAATTGGTGTGGCACCCAAACATCGAGTTTCTTTTTGAATCCAGCTTTGTATAAATGGTTTAAAACTGATTTTTAGCTCCTGGGCGATCTTACGACTGCTAACATGCCGGTCAACTTCGATCATTTCTCCGATTTTATCGACATTTTCGACGACCGGCCTACCTGTGCGAGGTGCATCTTTAACATCAAAAATTCCTGAACGGAATCTACGAAACCAAAATTGCACATAATTGGCTGTTACAGTATCGGAACCATAAACACCATTCACAATTTTAGCCGCCTGGCTTGCATTTTCGCCTTTGTCAAAGAAAAACTGTAAAATGTACCGAATTTTCTCTTTGTTCACTTCCATTTTTAACACGCTGTAACTCACAACTGAAGGCACCAAACAAAAAACAGCAAAAGAATTTTTTTTTTTACTGCGAAATGTACAGTATGTAAATGTATAGTATCGGAAATTGTTTGATCGATACTTTACGAGAAATCTATCAGTGCAGCCATCTACCGAAAAAATAATGGATTTCTTTTTCCCCAAACTAATAATTATATAATTTTCTTGTTTGTTTACATACACTGGCTTATCAAGATGGGCCCTTATACAGGGAGTGACCGAAAAAGTGGTCCAATCTGAACCATTTTCAATGGCTTACTTTTCTGGGCCAAAACACTTCAGAGAATTATTTTTCATTGAACGCAAAAGGGACAGATAAGTTTAGACCCGTTTAGAAATGAACAAATGGGATTTTCCATCTCTGTTCAACATACCAAAAAAAAAAAAAAAATGGGATTTAAAATTTAAAATCATCTTCTCAATTGACTTTGTGGTTGCAGTCAAAACTGGTGTAGGGTACATTTAATAATTAGTGTTAAAAATTCATATTCACTCAAAATTGTTTTTAATTCTTGATATGACATTCGTGTTTTATGTGAATTCATTCCGTACTCCAAATAAGAATAAAATAATAGTCAGTTTTACTTTTCTTGTTTTTTCTTTTAATATCGGCCATTAGCTTGCTTACGATGGTATGATGCTTTGTAATTGTTGAAATGCTAAAATAATCTGGAAAAGAAATCAAATTAAAACACATAAATCTTGCGTCAATAACCATTGGTTCGTATATTACTATAAAATTTATCACAAATTCAATCAATTTGTGCATCTCTATTGGACGATATTTCTTTCTACACTAGCTTCATATGTAATTGTTAATAAAATTATTTTCTAATTACTTCTTGCAGACACTACAAAATTTTCAATTAATAATTAATGTTAAAGGAAAATACGATTCACAAAATAAACGAAAGAAACGCAATTTTTAGGAAAAAGTTCACTCTTCAAGAAAATAAATATAATGTTTGAATATAATTAATGGCAAAAGATAAGAAGAAGAGAAGGATTCTTCCGTAAATTACTAGCATTCAAATCATAAGTAATAGATGACAAAAAAAAAATGACGACTGATGACGGTTTTCCAGATATTATCAAAATTGAATTAAAAATCAATGACATAGAATTTGCGACGACCCCCGAAGAAATTGCTATTAAACTAAATATCGATGGCATTGAATTGAGTTCTATTCCAGAGAATCTTGATATTGCAATATTAATTGATACCTTTAAAAAACTGCAAGAAGAAGTAGAAGGAAAACAAAAAAGTAAGAATTGGATGTTGTGGAAAAGAATACCGCATCTACCTTTTAATAATACAGCCAATCATAAGGAAAACAACATTCGGGTAATAGTCAATGGCGAGGAACGGGGTTATGACAAATTATCAATGAACATAATAAATTGAGCTTTGACTCTGATTGCCCTTTCAAGCAATCAACAGCCAACGGTGTTCACAGGGTGGCCAACTAGCTTTCTGTAAACGATATCTACAATTATAGAAAAAATAAACTTGAACTTTCTTCCATTTCGCTATTCATTTATAAAGAAAAATAAAAATGAATCAATTATATTTAAACGGCTTTTAGATCTTAGAGTCATGTTCATGCGCTATATTGATTGACAGAAACCCATCTTCTATCATACCGATTGATTCAAAGAGACTTACTGCCTTCTTGTTTTCTTGTATTCCACCTATAAATCACAATTTTTGAGATATTTTTGTGAAATTTTGTGCATGACCTGATGTGGCCTAAGGACGAACACTTTTGAAAAAAACTCGGATCGAATGATTATTTTGACCGCTTTTAATATAAAGTTCCCGTTTTGAAAAGTCGCTACATAAATAACCGTATTAAGCGAAGTGGTGTAGGGTGTTTAAAGGTGAGCTGTCTCGCAATATAGTGTTTCTAGTTTTTTTAAGATTCCTACAGTGGTCAACCTGAATTATTCTGTGCTATTACAATTTGTTGAATTTGTATATACTTTATATTACTATTGAAACAAAGGGGACTCAAATAATTTATGTAGCGTAATTGCTTTTTCCCATTTATTGACATCTTACTTCGCATCGCCATCATACTACATAACGCGCTGCTGTTTATACCCTACATCAGCTGTTTTTAGGGTATATTAAAATAGTGCTCGTCGTAACACGTAGAAGGGCTAAAGATAGACGCACTTTTTATTGTACCGCTCGATTCAGAATCATAATCTGAATTGATGTAAGCCTGTCTGTCCGTTTGATGTCTGTCCATGTAATTTGTGTTCAAGTTACAGGTCGGTTGAAATATTTTGTTGAAATTTGGATTTTCAAAATTTCTCCGCAAAAGTGGCTAAGTAGTATTTTGGCATTCTAAATAGATATGAAAACTTTGGACCAGCTGGGGACATTTTTGAACTTCCCTCTCACATAACGAAAATGAATTTCATACGGCAAAAAGATATAATTTTCATCGTAAAGCAATGAACTTAAGCATTGAAAAACTAAACATAAAAAAAATTAACTATACCAAATTTGGACCACCTCACCCTATTTTTTGGTTCTACCCTAATTAGAATTTTCATAAAAATTGGATCTTTGTAGAGCAGAAAAGTCGAAGTTTTAATTTGTAGTGATAGAAATTGACCAATAATACGACAGTAATTCCATACAAAAATGAACTCCACAAAATTTGGACCATCTACGCCTATTTTTGGATCCTGCGATTTGTAAGGATTAAACTTGTACTTGTACTTGTTTTTGACCCGCTTTGCGTTTGTATAGAAACAAGATATAATTTTTGTGTTGTGCGGAGAAAGGCCCTGAATCTATACGACTCATCTCATGTTGGCTATGTGATCATTTTTGTCATACAAAGAGTGCTGGTATTATCGGCCGTGGTGCTCATGCAGTCGTTCACCTCTCGAAAGTAGATAGAATGAAGTACTGTTAAGTTTAAAGATGTCAACAAATCTTTGTGCTGCATGCTATATATACCTACGAGGAAATACAAATCTCTGACGGCAGTAACCGTAGAGCTGCGCGGAGCGAGCTGATGTTTTAATCAAGACTAACTGGGTGTAGATTGCTATGATAAAAAGAAAACTCGGGAAATACACAAACCACAATAGCTAATTTTATCCGTACGAAAATAACAAAAAATTGAAACACTACCTCTTTGAAATCAGTAATACGGAGGAAGTGAAGTAATACAACGGAGTTGGAGGCTTATGGAACAGGCTACCTGAAAGTGTAGGCAACGTTACTATCGAGTTCGATTCATTACAGGAACTTCAAAAAACGGGGATATTTTCTGAACTCTTCACAATAACGATGATTGGAAATTAAGAGTCTAACTGTGGATACCAAAAGTTTCTATATAAAGTATCATAGTCAATCATAGTAGATATGATAAGATGAAAAATGAAAAATGAACTCCACCATTTTACGTTCAGGTTAGTAAAAGAGAACAAATGGATGCACATGGTATATGTATAGCCATTGGAACAATCTAGCAGCGGAGGCCTTCCCCGTCGCACTCGTCTTTCGAGTTTGTAGTTGAATGTACACCGATATTACCCTCTTCTCCTCACCACCATTGTGCCTGCACGACAGAGGCCATTCCCTGAGTGACGTATATATATATACATATATATACACGGTCTTAGCTCCTTTCGGCCGGTAGAGCATATAAATATATATATATATATTTTAATTATTTTTTTTTTTTTGACCTGGGGTTTGGCTCTCGGAGCCTCCTGACAATGAAAAATAAA